ATCTTTAAACTGGGAGTCCGTGGAGACCGGTCCTGCAGAATCACCTTACATATGGCAGGGGCAAATGGCAAGAATCTTGCTCAAAGTATTCAGAAAATCCACAACTTGGCCGGCGTCTTTACTTTTTTCCTTCACGTTCCCAGTGGAACATAGGGCTCCAAGCCAGTGGCTTGAAGTTTCTGTAGCTGTGTTAATTTTTACAGGATGGGTTTGCTAGCCTCATGCCTAACATTTCCACTTTACCAGTCTGACTACTCGCTTCGCGAGGTAAAGGAGTGCGTTGGCCGGGGATCGAACCCCGGACCATGTGCATGGTCGGCGAGCGTCCTAACCGCTGTGCCACCGACGCACTTAGGTAGGCAATATCATTCCTATAATCTGAGCCAACGATACTTTTCTCTAGTAACAAGTTAATCTCTAAGTTGCTCAAGTTAGTTACGGTAAATTACATTAGTACATCTACGAAGAAATTAAACAAAAATGGGTATCCCTAACAGTTGTCATCACTGCACACAGCAAGTCCCCATAAGCCCTTACACGATGGCATGAGTTCAAATAGAGCGCCTTGATCAGCACAACATACTTTCTTGGTACTCTCTTCACGACCAAACATTGCCAAAGCACCTCTCAGTCGACAGATTGTAATTCCACCTTCAGGTCATGAAATATGGCAAGCGTTGAACACAAATAAATATGCCTATGTTCCGAAATCTGTTGAAGGGTGAGGGTATAATCAATAAACTCTCTTCCTGGTTTGCTTCTCCTGAGAACCGCTAAGTTTGTGCATGATCACTGAACCTGATCACCTGACCCAAGTGTGGTTATTCACCTAACCCCACCTGGCCAACAGGTTGAATCTGCAAAATTCACCCTGAGGGTGTCAGGAGATGCCACAGCTAGTTCACGAGGATTAGCTGGCGTAGGGATAGCTTTGAGTACTAGGGCAGAAAAGACATTGCTTGGCTGGATCCCGGTAGATAGCCGAATGTGTGCTGTCCGCCTGAACGGATCAGTAAGAAGGAGGAAGGACTGCACTACTCGCCGATGCCTTTTCGTAATCTCCGCCTACGCCCCCACTGACTGCAGTTCGGATGAAACGAAGGATGAGTTCTACCAAAAGCTGTCTAGTTTGGTGGGAAAGGCTATACGCTCAGATATAGTCGTTCTAGCTGGTGACTTTTAATGCTCAAGTAGGGAAATTGTGTCAATCTGAGAAGGATGTCGGTGGCACCTATGGAGTCCCGTGCCAGCGGACCGACAACGGTGACCGTCTCCTACAGTTCTGTTCTGATAATCATTGGTTTCTTGTAAGCACTAACTTCAAACACAAGGAGAGACACTGTTTGACCTGGCGACCCCCTTCATCAAACCAACGCTGGACACAAATAGACCATATAGCAATAAGCTATCGTTGGAGTGGATCGGTAGGAGATTGTCGCTCTTTCTGGAACACGTGTGTAGATACCGATCACGCACTGGTCCGCGCTCGGGTGTGCTTACGACTGAACGGAAGTAGGAAACAGCTGGCGGTAAATCCATCACGTCCCCAGCTCAATCAGGAAACTAAACCCGTATTTGAGGAAGAACTAGCTAAACACATATCTGTGTTCGACAGCTGTGCTCACCCTGAAGAAGCTTGGAAAAATATCCAGGCAGCCATAGATACAGCTGTAAAAGCTGTCAATAAGGTAAACCCAAAGGTGAGTAAAAACCACTGGATCTCCACCGCCTCATCCGAACTGATAGATGCTAGAAGACTCATTCCGGCGAGATCCGAATTCAATGAGGAGCGAAAGCTGCACAAAAGGAAACTTACGAAAAGTCTCCGCAAGGACCGTGAACAGTGGTGGGTGAAAAAGGCGAAAGAGATGGAAAAAGCATCGGCGATAGGTAACACTAGGCAACTCTTTAGACTCATCAGGGAAACGGGTGGGAGAAGTCAAGTCATAAGTGAAACAATCTCGGAGAAAAACGGCACCATATTTAGCTCCCAGGATTGACGACTGGAACGCTGGAAAGAGCATTATGAGGAGCAGTTTAATTGGCCCACAGCAACGCTCAACCTGCCGAGCATCCAACACCTCGCTGAATGGGATATAGACACAGGTCCTCCGTCACTAACTGAGGTTACTAAAGCTGTCACCAATCTGAAACTAGGCAAAGCAGCGGGACCTGATGGAATGACGCCAGAGGTATTTAAGTACGGTGGAGACAGCTTACTGTCAGGATTAACTGAGGTACTAGGCAGCGTTTGGGAATCAGAAGAAGTCCCATCGGGTTGGTGTAAGTCACTGATTATCCCCATATACAAGAAGGGAGACAAGTCTTCCTGTGATAATCACAGAGGGATTAGCTTGACTAATATAGCATCTAAAGTCTTAGGCTCAATAATCATGCGTAGACTGAGTGGTGCTCGGGAGACACAAACACGAGAGAGCCAGGCAGGCTTTAGACCAGGAAGAGGGTGTATTGATCATATCTTCACCCTCCGACAGATTCTAGAACATAGCCATTCCTACCGGCGTCCAACAGTCATTATATTTCTTGACCTAAAGGCAGCATTCGACTCTGTCGATCGGGAAGTTCTCTGGAGATGCTTGGCTGTAAAGGGAATTCCAAGAAAATATATTGCACTGATTAAGGCACTCTACTCGTACTCATACAGCCAGGTGAGGGCTTACGGCGAGCTGTCATCTGAACTGATGACGATGGTATCTAAAGTCCTAGGCTGAACTGAACTTTCAGAGAATAGTGGAGTTTGAATTTCAAGTCTGACGGCCTTGAGTTCGATTTTTCGGAGAACCATAGTCTCCATCGCTTTAAGATGCATTTAACTGGATCAAGCCTAGTCGGCTTAAAAAATTAAATTTTAATTAGTGGTTGGTTTTGTAACTTGATCATCTGGGTACTCTACTCGAACTCATGCAGTCAGATGAGGGCTTACGGCGAGTTGCCATGTGAAGTGGTGACAACTAGTGGTGTTCGTCAAGGATGCCCACTATCCCCCTTTCTATTCAATTTCATCATAAATGTACTAATGGACTTAACCCAAACCCACTTCAGAAACTCAGGGATCGACTTGTTACCACTAGGGTATAGTCTCGTTGACTTAGAATATGCAGACAACATAGTCCTACTAGGCGAGGACTCGGAAAAAGTGCAGTGTTCTGAACAGCTTGAGCTGCGACCTACGAATGTTTGGCATGCGATTCGCTCCCGCCAGATGCAAGATGATGTTACAGGACTGGACTACACTGACTCCTAGTTTAGAAATAGGGAGTGAAGTGGTAGAGCACGTTGACCGCTTCACTTATTTGGGAAGTACCATCAACCCCAACCGGTCGATCTCTGACGAAATTTCAGTACGGATACAGAGGGCTAGTTTCGCATATGCCAGTTTACGCCAACTCCGGCGTAAACGCGATACCTAACTGGCTATCGACCAAAGGGCGGGTGTACTGCTCATCAGTCCGCTCCGTCCTCATTTATGGCTGTGAGCGAAACATGGCCGTTGAGAGTGGAAGACATGAAAAGATCAACTGTCTTTGATCATAGGTGCCTGCGTTCTATCTCCCGTAATAAGTGGTATAATAAGGTGAGCAATATTGAGGTAATGCGTCGGTTGAGTGCTAGGTAAACAGGGGAAATCGATCGACGAAGTTGTGAAGTTACAAAGACTGAGATGGTTAGGACATGTGTTACGCATGCCTAGTCATCGCCTTTCTCGACCGACGGGCAATGTTAGCGGATATAGGGTCAGGCTGGAAAAAAGCTAGCGGAGGTCAAACCAAAACATGGCACCAGTCAATGAAATCTACAACAGTTAGTCTAAGCCACGTAGGAAGGTGTAGACTTGCTGGTTGGGGTCCTCGGGACGGTAAAAACAAATGGTGACATGGCTCAAAATCGTTCTCAGTAGCGCAGATGCATCCACTCCTTGTGATTTATGATTTCCAATGAAACTGTTTTGTTCTTCGTTATTACTCTTCCTTTGTCTCACACCCTGCTTACTGTCTGTATTATGCTTTTCTTCTACTTTCTTTTCTTGCTTCATGGAGTGTGGCGACTTGAACTGCCGCACATATGTGCAAAGTTCTATGCCGAAAACAGACAGACTGAACCTGAAACTTTAGGTAGTATATTAGTCAAGTTAATCAACTTATATCATCTCGAGAAGATTCGTCTTCCTTCTTATGGTAATCAATGAATTACGCCACTCTAACTGAACTACCTCTGATGACCGGGCGCTACCTAATATATTTGATAATTCAGACAACAGTTCATCATTACTGACCTTAAACACCTCAAGAGTTATTCCAGCAGGTAGCATTGCTTTGCCTCATTCCAGATTGCAGACAGCACTTGCGACTTCAGTTACAGTTGGAGAACCGATCTGGAGATTCCATTCAGGTAGGTGTCGGATGCTGCACGAGATGAGTGGGGCCAGTTAAATTACTCCTCAAAAAACCAACCCCCTCCCCCAAAGTTACCACAATAATTCATTGATGTAAAATTGTTAATTGGTATTTTTATTTTACACTTTGGTTAATCTTCACCACTTACAAGTGTCCTTTTGATTTTTTTATTATTACGGCCAACTAACCGCTACATACCGCTCAAAAAGCTTTACAAAAGTGAAATTGTACAGGTATGTAAATGAATTTGTCCAGAAAAGTCTCGTCCTTGAACTACCACCTCTTCCCTTACCAATAAAACCAGTCGTTTTTTATATTTAAGGTATGATGAGATTTACTTAAATTCAAAAAGTAAGCCTTTAAGCAAACACTAGTTCCCGATTTTTTTTCCCATTTTTTTCCAAAAATGCAAAAATCAGTGGAAAACATACAGGTTTTAATTATATATAGTCTGTGCTGCATCATCCTATTAGGTGCATGCGTACTGTAAATTTTAAAAACTCTGAATAGTTTTCACCATGAGATGAAAAAAAAGAAATATTTGAATGCTGTCGAGAAAATGATACATGAATACTGTTATCTTACCAGTTCTCCAATAATAATAATATTTTCACCCCTAATAAGTAGAATGCCTTGGGGAACATCGCAGAATTTTTTCTCCACATGAATACGTTCCACAGCTTGATGAAGAACAACATTTCCTGAAAAATGTAAGTATTATATGAAGCCTTACCGAACTGATCGATTATTCTCAGGTATCCAATAAACATTCGGCCACCACGGAGACTGATAGCCATTTTCTCTAGAAAAGATTGTTTTACCAGCTCCAATCATAACGAACTTCCAATATCCTGAATGAGACTAGCTGCTCCTGGATAATTATTTTCCAACGATGGCATCTTTAAATGCACCTAGGTTATTACAAATAAATTAATATATCATTGTGAATAATCAGTGACAAAGGTATCCACCAAAGAATAGAAAGTAGGGGCAACTAAGAAGTTACGTGTATACCCAATTATTGAGTGGTCAGGAAAACCTAACGCATAGGAAAGGTAATATCCCTACAATAACCAGTGCGAAGACAAGATCACAATGAGCCAACCTTTAAAAACGAAGTGTTTAGTCTATTGAGTGATAGTACACATTGTTTATATGTATATATATGGTCTTAATGGCTACAATTCGCAGTGAACATTTCTAATACTTTGCGGCTGAATGTATAGCACAAGAGGTAATACAAAAACATATCAACTTCTAGAGACCGATTTTGGATCAAAACCTACAGGCGATAAATTTACGTCAAACAAATAGTTTGGTCTACACACTATCCATCATATATATATATATATATATATATATATATATATATATGTCAAAAGAAAATCTTTAGAAGCGTAACATTAACAAAGGGAAAGTATATCCCTGTAGCCATGTCCAGAAATTCTATCAGTCAAGTTAGACCAAATGTATTGAGTGGGAACTACATGTTGAGACCTGTAAATTGGCCGTGTTGTGTCCCATTACAGGCATTCACAAATAGTAACACTCAAAAAATATATATTCTCTTCCATGCAATTAGTCATGAACATTTTATGATTTCCATAACCGCAGTACTTTGCAGTAGTTTGTTCTGAACTGCCTTACGGCTGCCATAGCTGTTGAATAGAAACACAGAGATGTCTCTTGAGAAGTTTTCTTAGTTACTTGCTATATGAGGCAACATACTACACAATACTGAGGTTCAACATCCAATTTGAGTAACAAAAGTAAGCTAGTCGATGAGATTATGAGACTCCATTCACTGAGGTAGCTACGACACTATTAATTATGCTTCCTTCAAACAATGAGCAATGTTACTTAAAGCAGGATTACGTTCAGAAGAGTTGGTCCGAGTAAAATATGACACCAACTAATGAAGTATCAGACAGTTGAATTGACTCAGGTACGGTATACACTGCCTGCCTAGGACCAATGGTTAGAAACTGAGAAATGGTGTAGATAATTTAAAAACTCAATTTTTCATACCCTGTGAAACTTTATTAATTTTCATTTATCATTCCTGTTGAGCAGAAACACGTTTGTCTTTCATGGTGTCAATTTATTTCTACCCCTTAGACTTGTGCGCTTTTCCGAAATTCATAAACTTGAAATGAGGTAACTGATGTAACTGAACTTTCAGAAAATAGTGGAGTTTGAATTTCAAGTCTGACGGCCTTGAGTTCGATTTTTCGGAGAACCATAGTCTCCATCTCTTTAAGATGCATTTAACTGGATCAAGCCTAGTCGGCTTAAAAAATTAAATTTTAATTAGTGGTTGGTTTTGTAACTTGATCATCTGGGTACTCTACTCGAACTCATGCAGTCAGATGAGGGCTTACGGCGAGTTGCCATGTGAAGTGGTGACAACTAGTGGTGTTCGTCAAGGATGCCCACTATCCCCCTTTCTATTCAATTTCATCATAAATGTACTAATGGACTTAACCCAAACCCACTTCAGAAACTCAGGGATCGACTTGTTACCACTAGGGTATAGTCTCGTTGACTTAGAATATGCAGACAACATAGTCCTACTAGGCGAGGACTCGGAAAAAGTGCAGTGTTCTGAACAGCTTGAGCTGCGACCTACGAATGTTTGGCATGCGATTCGCTCCCGCCAGATGCAAGATGATGTTACAGGACTGGACTACACTGACTCCTAGTTTAGAAATAGGGAGTGAAGTGGTAGAGCACGTTGACCGCTTCACTTATTTGGGAAGTACCATCAACCCCAACCGGTCGATCTCTGACGAAATTTCAGTACGGATACAGAGGGCTAGTTTCGCATATGCCAGTTTACGCCAACTCCGGCGTAAACGCGATACCTAACTGGCTATCGACCAAAGGGCGGGTGTACTGCTCATCAGTCCGCTCCGTCCTCATTTATGGCTGTGAGCGAAACATGGCCGTTGAGAGTGGAAGACATGAAAAGATCAACTGTCTTTGATCATAGGTGCCTGCGTTCTATCTCCCGTAATAAGTGGTATAATAAGGTGAGCAATATTGAGGTAATGCGTCGGTTGAGTGCTAGGTAAACAGGGGAAATCGATCGACGAAGTTGTGAAGTTACAAAGACTGAGATGGTTAGGACATGTGTTACGCATGCCTAGTCATCGCCTTTCTCGACCGACGGGCAATGTTAGCGGATATAGGGTCAGGCTGGAAAAAAGCTAGTGGTGGTCAAAGAAAATACGGCATCAATCAGTGAAATCTATAACAGTTAGTTTAAGGCATATAAGGAGGTGAAGACTTCCAGGTTGGGATCCTCGGGATGGTAAAGACTAGTGGCTGGGGAAAATCGGTGATATCGGCTCAAAATCATTCTCAATGGCGCAGATGAATTCACTCTCCATGACTTCTTACATTCGATAAAGCTCTATGGTTTTTCACAGTAGTATTCATTTTCTTTGACACTTTTATTTTTATATTTTTATTTTCGATTACAGCTTGATTCCACGCTGTATTTTTGGTACAAGTATGGAATTTTCAGCATGGATATCGGTAGCTCAAATTTTGCAGGCCGACCATAGATATCAGGTGTCCGTCGGCAGGGGATCTAACTTCGGACCATGTGCATGGTCGGCGAGAGTCCTAACCATTGTGCCACCGACGCACACCTTATCTCTCTTTTGAAACTGTCTTTACTCTCTTCTCTTGCTTTGTGTGCCTTATTTTTATTTATTTATTTATTTATTTAAACGCAGAAAAACTTCGTTCAATATGGCATCAAGAAGGATGCGCCACACAATAATAATAAAACACAGATTAAAAGTAAAAAAAATTTGACCAGAGAACGGATGAAGAACTTCATCAGGAAGGACAACAGTCGTACTTAACAAGTTCAAATAGTATTCGGCAACTATCATCAGAAAAGGAAGAAAGAAGGAAATTGCAGCACGTTCGCCATCGACTACGATTCTTGGCCATATACGATAATGTTTTGAGCTATCTTTCGGACTCCAATCAGGGAGTCGTGACACACCAACCGATGCTAACCTGGCACACATATCCCTCATCCCAGGACGCCACGCATCCCTTGTACTTTCTTCTCTTGATTTGTGTGCTACTTGGAGTGTGGCGACTTGAACTGCCGCACATATGTGTAAAGTTCTATGTCGATAACAGACAGACAGACCACGACGCCACGTCATGCACTGACCACCCCTCCGCCTTTTCTATCCTGTTCCAGGGCTAGCGAACAGAAACCTGTACGCAAGCCTCTGGGATGACACTCGCAGCACATGTCCAAGCCACCAAAGCCGGTGTTTCCAGATGACGACACTAAACAAATGGTGATCTCCACTGTGTTCAAACACACGCCGCCGAACCTCAGAATTACTCACGTGATGATGCCACCGAACGCAAGCGATCGCGCAGAGACAGTGATGATCAAACACCGCACATCTTCATCTCGGAGAGGCCAGGTTTCACAGGCGTAGAGCGAGACAGTCAGCATTGTATACCCGACTTTTGACAGCCAGGCTAACGTCGCGACGTCGCCAGAGGTGGCTCAAGTTGGTGTATGCCACCCTAGCCTTCATGATACATTTGGAAGTCTCATCCATCACACCTCCACCGATACTCACACAACAACCCAGATACACATACTTATCAACAACTTCATGTGGTTCACCTGCAAGAGTGAGTGCAAGATAGGCTCCTGCCAATCTTATAACAGTACTTTGCATTTAGATGACGCAAAGCACATACCATGCTTACAGACACTGATCGCCAACTGATTAAGTGCGATTTGGGCAGCCTGCATGCTATCACAGAGTAAAACATAATACGCATACTCGAGGTCGAAGAGTCTATCTCCAGGGAGCAGATCTACACCACCTTCGCGCACATCCTTCAGAGCCGACTCCAGAATGTCATCGATGGCAAAATTAAGGAGAAATGGAGAGATCGGGCAACCCTGTTTAACCCCACTGTTGGTTAAGAACAGTGATGACAGTTGGTTGTTTGCCGTCACTCTACCTGAGGTGTTTCTGTAAAGGGCTCTCAAAATGTTAACAAACTTCTCGGGTACACCGCTCTCTAACAGACAGTTCCAGAGCAGCCTGCTCTTCGCGAATCAATCCTTCACGTGTTTTGCACAGCCTGCAGAGCAAGACAGCAGCCAATATTTTAGACACACCTGGCAGCAGACTGATACTCCTATGATTGTCACATGAATTATGTCGACCCTTTTCAAAGTTGGGGACGATAATGGCTTCGTTCCACATTGACGGTACACTCAGTCTCCCATACCTTCCTGAATAAACCAGTTATAGCCATTGCGAGAGTCTCGCTACCATCTTTGAAAAGAGCCAAGGGTAGATTGTCTGGGCTGGGTGCCTTACGGCGTTTTAACATTTAAACTTCATTACGGACATACGTATAAAACTTGGGCACTGTGGTAGAGTATAACTCCATTATGGATAAGATTTTATTTTGATAAATCACAGTGTTGTACAGTTATATTGACTGATGACGTTTCGAGCACAAACTATTGCTCATAATCATATCAAGTAACTCACACAAACCTCACCTAGATTACTAGCTCGCTAGTTTTCTTGCCGGTCCCAAGCCCGGATAAAGAGGGAGGGTTGGAGTGTGGTGCTAGCAACTCCACCCCCGTAAAACTCAACAAAATCGCTACAGAAACTTCAACGAATAAATATATTAAAAATTCTAAAAACATAAACAATAGCTTTATTTTCCGCTGGAATCGGGGGAGTGAAATGACGCAGGCAGGTGAAAGCCTTCGGGAAGCCAGTCAGCCGATGTGCCTTCTTTCGATGAAATGTTCGTACAATGTACGAAACTGGAAAGACTGCCCAGATAGCCGCAGAAATGAGAAGATATAGAATAGAAGTGTTGGGAATCT